GCAGGTACATGTAATGGGGTATTTTTGAGGCTGAGAGTGAATTGTCGGTTTTGCGACGGAAGGTTGACTCGCTTGAAAAGGAATTGAAGGAAATGCCATTCTTGAAAGAGGTGACGCTTAAAGAGAGTTTTATAAGTATATTTTCACTTTCCGACGATTTCTGTGACTTTATTGTTATAAAAACTCAGGAAATGAGAGAATTGTCGGAGAAGTACGCATCCGTAGCTGAGCGTGCCGAGCAGTCTGAACGTGCTCTAGAGGAATTGGGAGGACATTTGAGCGAGTATGTTCCATTTGGGGTGATTCTAGTCCAGTTTGCGTAGTGATTGAGAAGAATTTTTCTAGGTCGAAACTTCGCATGTTGGAACTAGCAGAGGAATTGCTACCCCTTTCCGATGCCCATTGGGCGAATGACGCTGACGTCACACAGTGTACTGCGTGCTCCGAAAAGTTTTCGCTTGCAAAGCGTAAACACCATTGCCGGTTTGTTTTTCAGGCTGTTCTTATTTTTCATAACATTGGGACAGTGGGATGTGCATAAACTACCATATGTGAACGGTCTCGATGAGGCATTTTTTTGAATTGGAAACTTCTGGTTCAAAGCTGAAGGGAGCTAGAGGAGTGCTGCATCGAATGTCGTCGGTGGGAAGCGTTAGAAGGGGATCACCCATCTGTCGGAGTCGGAATCGGAATTGAGGAAGGTCGAGAGGCGAAAGACGGTTGTATTATTGAAAACGAAGGGGTTGTGCTTGTAGTAGAGGTAGTCCTTTTTTGACAAAAGGATTATCGATAAATTCAGGCAAAAACAAAAGAAAGAAGCTTGAAATGAACAAAATTAGGAAATTTGTCGTTTCTTGAAGAATAAGGGCTGATTTGGAGGGAAAAGTGAGCGCACCTGGAGTGTGCCGATTAGATGTACGATCGGAGTCAAACGCCATAGAAATAGCCATAGATTCTGTTCAGTAACTCCTTTCAACGCGCTGAACATCCGAAGGAGTGTCTGTTTTCTTTGAAGGCGGTGTTCACGATAAGAGATCAGCTCATTAGAATTCAAGCTGAAAAAACCAAGAAAAGTCCGAGCAATGCGGTTCTTTCTCTGTCCGCTGATTTCTGCTGGGTCTAATGCGGGTCTCATCGGTGCTGCCCTTATCAACGTTAACGCACTCTCCCTGTTAGTTTTCACGTTTTTCAGAAAAGGGCCACTTTGCCGATTGTGCAAAAATATAAATCCACCCCATGTTTCTCGGTTGAACTTCATTGTTATTTGGCGTAACTGTCAGGTTGTTTCCACTTCCTCTTTCTTAGGTGATGACGGAAGTAACACCGCTGTCGGGCTCAGAAAAAAGGCGAAATCTGCAAAAGAGTGGGGAGATTTGCCATGCAGACAAACGCGCGTGATTTGAGCCCCGCTTATGTGGTTGTTGAGCATTTCGTCAAGAATCCTGCAGCATGTGGAATCCAGAAGAGCACTGAACCCTTTTCTTCGCGTTTCGGTTGCGATGACCGTAGTGTTATGGGAAAAGCAGCCGATTCTCCCAAGGGGTGCTCAGGAACTCAACCTTCAAAAAACCTAAATTTCTTGAAGTCACCGTTTGGCGTGTGTTAGAAGAACTCTGAGACCACTCTTCGACGGAAAATGAGTATGGCACAGTTGAAGACACAAAGCCATCCCAAAAATCAAGCCAACTCTTCCATAATGTGTGCATGCTGCGCCAGCTGCATTAAAGGCCTACCCCAGGATCACATTGGTGTGGCTCTTGTACACGAATGCGAATGTATTGGTGGGAAGTGGGCCGGCAGTAAAGAAAAAGGAAAAGAATCCGTCAAAAACGCTTAGGTTAAGGGCTCACTCACCTTCCTAATCGGCTGTGCTAAGGGAATGAGAGACTAAGCGCGGAGAGGAGAGTATGAGGCGAGAGAGCGCTACAGATGAGAGAGCGCCAGACAACAGCCTGATAAGAAAAAAAAAGTCTGCAGCTTGGGCAGCTTACTTTGCAAGGCCCAAGCGCTCTTATCGGTCGGTTTCCGTGCACGAGGACGCCACATCTGTGATTGTCCTCTAGGGTTCTATACTAGTGACCGAAGAGAAGCGTTCACACGAACTCTGCCTGGGTTGTGCCTTTAAGTTCGGCTTTCTACACGCTACTTTTTACTGTCTGTCTGAATTTCTCTCAGTTTTTTTTCTGCAGTGTGTTTGGCAGAGACAGGAACTCATATTGAAAAAGGAAACCAGTAAGAAAAGTGAAGACAGCCATCAAAAGGTACTGCGCGGCCAATATGGCCTCGCTCGACCACTGATCTTGGGAAACTTGGCTTGATTTTTGCGATGATTCCGGATTTTTGAATGTGTCCTACTCATTTTCCGTTGAACAGTGGTCTCAGAGTTCCTCTAACACACGCCAACGGTGTCTTTCAAAATCGTCCATTGTATGTTTCAAGAAGTTTAGGTTTTTTCAGGGGAGATGATACATCCCCTTAGTAGGAGATTGGCCGATGTCAGAGTCTGCGATTGGAGCGATCGGTCAAATGCCAATCGCGCGACCATCGCGCGATTCGCGCGACGATCGCGCGATTGACATGAGTCCCATCATGACCAATCGCTCCAATCGCGCGATGGGCGCGATCACTCCCGTTGTGGCTGGCGCGCCCCTCTCGATCGATACGTTGACTGAGCTATCGATCGAGAGGGGCGCGCCAGCCACAACGGGAGTGATCGCGCCCATCGCGCGATTGGAGCGATTGGTCATGATGGGACTCATGTCAATCGCGCGATCGTCGCGCGAATCGCGCGATGGTCGCGCGATTGGCATTTGACCGATCGCTCCAATCGCAGACTCTGACATCGGCCAATTGGCTGCTTCCCTGTAAAACTACGGTCATCGCAACCGAAAAACGCGAAGAAAAGGGTTCAGTGCTCTTCTGGATTCCACATGCTGCAGGATTCTTGACGAAATGCTCAACAACCACATAAGCGGTGCTCAAATCACGCGCGGTTGTCTGCATGGCAAATCTCCCCACTCTTTTGCAGATTTCGCCTTTTTTTCGGAGTCCGATAGCGGTGTTACTTCCGTCATCACCTAAGAAAGAGGAAGTGGAAACAACCTGACAGTTACGCCAAATAACAATGAAGTTCAACCGAGAAACATGGGGTGGATTTATATTTTTGCACAATCGGCAAAGTGGCCCTTTTCTGAAAAATGAAAATAAAAAATTTTCGTGTTTTCGAAATGGAAGTTGGTGTTTACACTCGAAATTATATTTATATTGAGCACATTTTTCTTTCAAAGGCTTTTTCAGAAACACCCTATCATGCGAATTTTCAAGAACTTTCCAGGTGGATTTATATTTTTGCAACGCAGTGTATTTGTATAGGGCTTCATTGCGACCAAATGATATGCGCATCTGAATTAACGGCGAATGTATGGCGTATCCTAAAGAAAGGGTTGACGATACCAAAAGCATCACCTCACAGCATATATTTTTGGCTTTATTTTTACTTTCACTCAACGTGCCAATTCCTTAAAGGCAGGAATTACGATGGAGAGATAGCTCATTGGAAATAAGGGTAGAGGTGGCAGTGAAGCAGGGATGAAGAAGAGACCATCTGAAAGACCCGAAAACCCGAGAAATGGGACCCCTTCGTTGCCGTTGCTGTGATGCGACTCTCATCGTGTGTCCCTTTTCAACACTGCGCTCTCTCTGCTACCTAATCACTTGCCACGCACTGTGGCGAGTGATTAGATAGTCGGTGGGCGTACCCCGCCAACCGCGCCAAGAGTGAGCCATGCTAGATCGCCGAGGTCAAATCTTTCGCTGCCAATTGCGCGTCGGTCAGCACCCTCAGGAGGTCCGCCTGTCTCCCAACTATGCAATTTCCCCTTCTTTGACCTTCGTTCTTATCGTGAATTCCTCCTTTAAAGGAGAATTCCACGATAAAGTCAGAGCAAAGGGAGAAATATTCATGATTGAAAGCAGGCGGACCCCCAGTAAGTGCGGAACTATATGCAACTTACGCAGCGAAGGGTATACCCCAATGGCCTAGTAGGGCCACATTCGCGCCGGACAAACCCAACAATTGCTGACTCTTCGCGTCTGACTCTGGCCGCT